TGTATGATTTTTTTCTGCTATGCATTGATTTCAAATTAACTATTTGAAATATCAACACAACTCTGTGATGGTTCTAGAAAGCTTGGATAAAATTCAATCCCTAGTGGAGGATAAATTCCAGGAATTCGGAACACAGATCGAGCTATTACACTTTCCTGGCTCGCCTTCGCCATCAGAACATTTGCAGTATGCATGGTCCTGGTGAAGTTTATATATGCTGAGGGAAAGCATCTGAGAGATGCTTAATGAAAGTAGAAGGAAACTCTGTGCTGAATGGTCTTCAGGCTGACTTAATCTGGTTATTTGTTGGGCAAAAAACTCTTTTCTTTTCCTTTTGTGTCTTTTGATTGCAACCAAGAAAACCTTTTTAAGCAATTAAATTAGTTGCTTTAGTTTATTAGAAGTTCAAATTGGGTTTTCCAATAGGTTTTTGGGTTTTTTTCAAGTTTTGAAATATCAATATGTTCTTATGTTATTCTAGAAATTTTATTTGATCTTCTTTATATTAAAACTCTTTTGGTAATTACTGTTAGAAAGCTGTATCACATTTATCCAACCAGCAACTAACTACTTTTTCATGAAAGTTCTATTTTTATAATTCTCCATCTACAGTTCCACTTGAAGGGCCGTACTAACAGATCCTTATACATACTATGTTGGAGAGATTATCTTCTTTCTTTTGTTTTTCTTTTTTTCTCTTATTGGTTTCTTTGCTTCAGATTCTTGTCAGAGCTGTTCCAATAAAACAAGGTCACAATTTGAGAATTATATGGCCAATAACTCCAAGCATTCGCCATTACAAGGAAGCACCATGCAGGTATCTTGGTCATCTTATTGGCCACGAAGGAGAAGGATCATTGTTTACGTCTTGAAGACATTGGGTGGTTTTGCACTTCTTTTATGCCACAGAAAGCCAATTTAGTGGCGGATTTCTGTCGCACATTCTTCAAATTTTCTGGTTGTGTATGTGACCATATTTACATTAAGTGCTTTGAGGGTTGGCTGCTTTCTTTTTAGAAGATTAGTAGCTGTCTTTATAATTAGCAAGAATACCAAGACATTAGCAAAGAAAAAAAACTCACATATGAGTACGCAGATTATAAATTAGAAACAGCTGTGTCCCAAATATACAAACCATGTATCTATAGTAGAGTAATGCTAATTGGAATAAATAACTTGTAATGAGATGGAGAGAAGTTAAACTCATGAGAAACTCAGTAACTCAATGAGATAAAGGCTAATTCTTACATAGAAGATAATAATAATAGTCATAAAGCTTCTTACATAAATAATAATAATAAAGTGATAATAATATGATAGAGATTAAAGCGAATACCGGTGCTAAACTATAACCTTTGATTGGTTTCACTTGGCTAAAATAGTAAAAACTTATGTTATCTACGCTGTCATTATCTTATCAGCACTCAATTTTTAATCTTTGCAAGGCGAATTCATGGTGGTTGCTTTCTTTTCAATTTTTTTCAGGATGGGCTACAGGTTATCTGCAGGTGAAGGGATTGGACTTCAGAATATTCATTCTTGATGTGTAATTGAAGAACTGATGCTGGTATGGAAGTAATTTTGTAATTGTTACTTGGCATTGAGTTTTTTCAGATATGATCTAATGATTAAAATTGTCCTGATAAGAGTATGTCATGACCACAACTTGTAGATCTCTAGACTAAGAATTCTCATTTCCTTTATGAATTGAACACAGCAAATATTGTGGGGTGTTTATTTAGGTACATCAACCTCTTACAAAAGTCTGGTGCTTGCAAATGGATATTTGATGAGGTATGTCTGCGTGTCATTTATGTAGCTCATTATTTATATTTAACACCTCAAAAGAAGTGTACCTGCTAGGTAATTATTTGTCATTGATTTCATCTACATAGATACATTGGAGTTAGTTTGTTTGGATTTATGAGTTGGCTCTATAACAACGCATAACATATGGGAAGATTATTTTTCTTCCTTAAATTCTTATATATTTTCAAAGTCAGGGTGTGTCTGATTTATGATCAAAAATTATTTTAAATTAAAAAATACGATTTAAATTTCTAAGTTGTATCTTAATATTTTAATATTTGAAAATATGTTGAATATATTCAAAAATTGTTTTCAAATTTAAATATTAGAAACTGTAGAAACGACTTTTATCGTTTTTCTGCTCTTACTAGTTTTGGAAACTTTTAACTCTTTCTTTCTGCCAAATGCTTTTCATAAACAAAGAATTGTATTTAAATTTTCTATCAAACAGGCCCTAATTTTGTTTCTGCGAATTCATTGATATTTTTTTTGTATATAAAATGGTTGCATTAATATTATTGAGAATTGGAATTTAAGAGTGCTTTTTTTGAAATGGAAAAAATAGAATTTTAAGATATGACTGTAGCTACCCACAATCTATAGGATTTACTCAACCTATATGGAAGAAACAACAATTGCCATGCCCAAAAATTGTATGCAGTGGTAAAAAGTTAAGTTATAACATTCCATTAATGCAAATTGGAGCTGTATTAGTTGATTCTTCAAACCTTGACAAAGGATGCCAATGATGAAAAGAAGTTGCTATGCTTTTGTTGTAGTTGTCAGTAATGATCAAAATAATTCGAGGGTTCCATTTTGATCTTTCACGTTGTGCATTAAATGTCTTCCTGTTTTTCCACAATATCTAAGAATATGTCATGATATTATTTAGCTTGATGAATTCTGGTATATCCTTTTACATTACTATAATCTGTATTGCTATACATTGCCTTCCTAGTTCAACTTTCTGACATTTTACTTATTTTTATGAAGCTGTCAGCCATTTCGGAGACAACATTTCATTATCAGTAAATTCCCCGCAATTGACTATGTGTTAACATTGCTTCCAATATGCAGGTATCTGAAAGGTTCTACCTTTTTATGAAGTTTCCCTTCTGCATTTGTGCTAATTCTTTCTTTCTTTCTTTCGTTCTTTTTTTTTTTTTTTTTTTTTTTTTTTTTTTTTTTTTATTTGATACTTTGTTTATAGGTTAGTTGAAATATTAGTTGCAGAAACAGCTCTGTGAAAGGGTTTTCTTCTTGTTTTGAAGAAGCCAAAAAAACGGGGGGATTGTCAAAATCTGAATTACTTCGTTAAACAAAGATCCAAGAAACTCTTTAATTTATGCTTGATTAGATGAAAAGTGGATATCTTACCTGTCTCTTTATCATCATATTGTCGCTTAGTTAATGACTAAAAATGATTCTAAATCTTCTTTTGCTCAAACATATATTATATTAGTGTTATTAAGAGTTTGAGATTTGTTTTTTTTTCATTCTTTGCCCAGGTGTCCAATTTTAAATTCTTCTTATGTATATATTTTTAGTATAATCTAGATTAGGGAATATGATAGCTAAATAATATTTCTTTGGCATATTGTGTTGAAAAATGGACTTTGTGTTTGTGATTTCTTCGCTGCTTTTTAATTTATTATTGGTCCGGTACTCAATTATGATGTCTGAAAATTTGGCTTAGTTTTCTTCTTTTCTTTCTATTTCCCGGTATTATTTGTGAACATTTCATGTTTTACAAATCATGAGGGTTGGCTGATTGATACTTTCTTTGTAGTTGTCTGTGCGATTGGAAAAATCAAAACTACTACTGCTTTTTTTTTTTTTTTTTTTTTTTTTAAAAATGATCCATTGTAATTTTCTCAGATATATCCCCCTAAAGATGGCTAGTGGGTCATCCTTGCCTTCCAGTTTCTGTCCGAACTATTGAAAAGATATTGAATGAGCTTTCTCCAAATAATTCGGTAAGTTAGTAAGTGCTAGATGTTTGAATGGGTACATGGAGAGGACACTATCTTCTTTGCATTATTTCATTTTGCTTTCCCTTAATTCTGCTTGGATGTGATTATACTCATCTCTTTCTAGTTGATTTTTTCCTGGGCCCTGGTATCGAAACTGGGTAGAAGTTATCCAAACTTCATTTAAATGTTTGCTTTTTCTTTCTTTCTTTTTGTTACGTTTTGTTTTCAGTTTATTTTGAACCGCAAATATTTAAACTGTACAAATAGGGGGCAAGCCTTAGATTTATGTTATACTGACTACTAATCTGAGATTTAAAATCTTCCAGGGCTGTATCTATATATTACTACTGAAGCTGCAGCTTTGAACAGAAAATTATGTGAAACTGAAAAGGCAAACAGATATAGAGACAGAATACTAAATATTTGAATATAATATGACCTGTGCTCCTGGCATGCAAATCCAATTTACTTTTTTCTTCTGGGTTGCTTTCTTTAACAAATAGGGGAATCACTCAGTTTTTCCTAATTTATCCGATGTTTGTTTTTTAATGTTTCCTCGGCTCACTGTGTAGAACGGAGTTTCTCCCCTTTATGAATAAAAAATCCAGGCAAACCGAAGGAAGATATCAATTCACTAAGCAGATATAGGGGTTCCAACCACCCTCAGTAGTACTTTGTTCTGAGCTATATGTGTTACCAAATTGAATTGAAAAATGGTTAGGGTGGCCTTTCTCGCTTCTGTTTCTTCTTCTTCTTCTTCTTCTTCTCCATTAATGGCCATGAACATCCAAGCTTCTTCTCAAATATTTAGTGTGCTATTTTTTATACATTTATATAACATTTCCCTGAGTATTTATTGTGTAAATAAAAGAATTTACTCGGCATGTAGCATAAAATCCACGTGCAACTGTGAAAATTAATTCTTTTTTTGAATAATCAGCTGCAGCAGGATATATTTTGGTGCTATGTGTGAAATTTTATTGACTTTCTATTATTTTAGTTTGCTTCTGTTGTGCTTCACCTTCTCATGGCTTTATTGGTGTAACCTAAGAAATCTCATAATACTAGAACCTCACTAATACTAATATCTATTCCTATCAAATTGGGAGCATTGTGATTGACAGGTGATAGTTTTCTAATAAGCTTTCTGTTCACAGAATTTTTGGGAGTCGAAGAAATTTGAAGGACACACTGACATGGTTGAGCCATGGTATGCACCTCATATTCTTTTGAAAATCAATGACTCTGTGATTCAGGTTTGTTGTTTGATGTTGCTTGTGATAAGTTTCATTGTATTAGTAGCTAGGGACGTATCAGGCTGCAGGGTATCAATTGCAGTATGGGTATATTTGCCAATAGAGAAATGAAGTAGATTACAAGTGATTCTTGTAATGTTTTCTTTTGGGCTTTTTTCTGTTTGGGTGATACTACTACATCATACATCATATATTTTATATATAATTTGCAACTACAGTATCTTGAAGAAAAGAAATTTATGATTATTGAAAGCCTATTTGATTGCAGGAATGGATACTGTCTGCTCCTGATGAAAATCTTCACCTGCCAGCACCTAATATCTTCATCCCTACTGACTTGTCGCTTAAGGAAGCACAAGAGAAGGTTGGATGATTTGGTTTTTTTTTTTTTTTTTTTTTTTTTAATCTACTATTCTCTAAAGCATTGTTCTGATTTGACTGACCTCTGTAACAGGCCAAATTTCCAGTTTTAACTAGAAAGTCATCATATTCAACATTATGGTACAAGCCTGACACAATGTTCACCTCTCCCAAGCGTTTGTTAAGATATATTTCAACGTCCCCACTCTAGCAGTTCTCCTGAAGCTGAAGTTCTGACTGATATATTTACTCGGTTGTTAATGGACTACTTGAATGAATATGGTAAGATGTTGAATGATGTGGAGGATGTTGAAGTAGGATTAGATGAATGATCATTGAATAATATTTTCTATTTAACCGTATGTTCGTTGGCAGAGCAGATTATTGCAAAAATATTTATGTACCCTACCTTGTTGGATTTAGGTTTAGTTGAGCTGACAGAATAGTACTGCATGGTTATACATTATATAGTCCATAATCTGCAATTTGGATGTTTTTTCCGACTTGGGATTCTGTCAACGATTTCTATTTTGGTGAGTTTGAGTACATCTTTTGCTTAACCAATATCTTGTACATTTCAGCTTACTACGCACAGGTTGCTGGTCTTTATTACGGCTTACACCACACAGATAATGGTTTTCAGGTATTATCTTTACTTTTCTTCAACCTTTATTGATCTCTTTGATTTTGTCCACATTTCTTGATTTAGAAATTAGTAAAAGGCAGTAAATTCCATTTTGGTTTCTCTTTTTGCACGACCTTGCTATGGTTTTTCAAATTTCTTTTCCTCTGGAGATAAAATTAAGTCTAGAAAAATTGAAGCTAAATATCTCCAGTCTAACATTTTACTTTTATTTGAAGTGACAAATTACTTTGAAGTAGTCATGCCATGGTGCTTTGAATAATCCTTTGATCACATCATCTATGGGTGGGTAATTTGTGAAATAAATTTTAAAATTTGGATGAGTAGTTTTTGGTTAAGCCCCTGGGGGAGGTCTAAGATCTATCATAAAAAGCACAGATCAGTTGAAGCAATCTCAGAAAGCTTTTATTTGCTATACATTTGTATTGTAAATTTGGTTTGTCGGCCTCCTATGGTTGATAATTGTGCCCCCTAAATCAATACATGTACAAAAACTATAGAGTGCCTTTATATTGAAAATATTTAATTCCAATGAGGGTGCTATATAAATTTGTACAAAACTTTCCATACTTGATAGTTGTTTTAGGATGCATTATGTCTTGAAATTTGAGACTTGGTATATCAGACTTTTGAGGATGTACAACTTTGTGTCAACTCATACACAATACTTTTGTGAATACACAGTTATAGGAGGATGCAATTTCATTTGTCTAAAATGTGTACATTGGAGTTTTTATATAAATTTTGTACATAACTATCAGATAATTGCAACCTTAATACCAGCTTACTCTCTAGATTCTTCTTAAGCAGATAATCATCTGATTAAAATTAAATCATATTTTATTACAGTATGTTTTGAAGGAAATTTCTGATTCTTAAGAGTTTCTGAATTCTATCGTCCTTGCCTCGGAGAAAATCTGCCAGTGAAGAGCTAGGGTCATTGAGTTATAATTCCAGGAAGAGCCTCTATATGTTTTATTCTGGATGGGATTTATGAGTGGGTGAAATTTAAGTTAATGGATGCTTTACTAAGAATACTGAATTGTGGTCTTACTCTTTAGGCTGCATTGTGACCTGGTACTATGGCAGGGTTTCACATGTTGTTTGGAGTTCTTTGAAAAAAAAGGTCCTAGAGAACTAAGTTGCAGCTTTCTAGTTAAATTGTGCTTGTTGCATGAGACAATTTTTTTTTTTTTTTGGATAGGAAACAAAGAGAATTGTAATTTTTTTTAGTAAAAGATACAGCTCGACTTTTTTTTACTGTACAGTAGATATATATTAAGTGTTACTTTTTTATAAAGAGGCCATTGCCTACTGCTGTTCCAACCTAAGCTCAGTCCTTGGAGTTGATCTAGATTTCTTTTTGACCATCAGTAATGCGTCAAGCGTCTGATGGAACTCCCTGCAATCAAAGAACCCAGCACGCACACAGCACACAACCAAAATATGCACAAAGAGAAGGATATGGAATTTATATTAATTGGAACTAAGATAGAGTAACCAGCAAAATAGCAAAGAAATAGAAATACAAGCAGATTCCCAGCAATTCGAGGAGCTGGGGACCTCCCAAACAAGCCTATGAATAATATTTCTGGATGTCCCTCCTCTCTTACTTCTTCTTCTTAAATAGTCAATTCCTTAACTAACTGACAGCTAGGTGTCCATTTCCATACAAACTTCCCCTGCACTGTCCCTTTTCACAACAGATTTCCCATGCCTAATCACCCTCCTTGCCACCTCATCATCCTCTACCAACTCACACTTATTATACCCTTGCCCCTCTTCCTTCCCCTGCCCTTGGACTATAGACCTTACGTATGGGGGTCTAACAATACCCCCCCCTTGAAGTGCCACCTTGTCCCCAAGGTGGAATTGAGGAAATTGAGTATTGATGACATCAAGACCTCCCAGGTGGCATCAAAATTAGGCAGGTCCTTCCATTTGTGAGTATCTCGTGGAACCATCTATCAGAGTCTGCACATCCAGCACTGCCTCGGGTTGAACCTGATTCCAGATCTTCTATGAGACAAGATGGCAGAGGTTGTACAGGGACTGAACTATGTAGGCAGTGCTTCAATTGGGATACGTGAAAGACTGGGTGAATACAGGCTGCTGTAGGTATTCTAACTTGTATGCCACCTGACCAATCTTCTCGACCACTCGGAAGGGCCCATAAAACCGGGACTCAGTTTTTCATTCAACCGTGTGTTAGAGTTTAAACTTGTATGCTGAAGCCGGAGATAAACAAATCTCCCTGGAGAAACTGGATGTCCCGTTGGTGGCTGTCTGCTTGGGCTTTCATATGAGCTTGTGCTACTTCCAGTTTATTTTAAGGTCTTGAAGAGGCATTGCGTTCTTGGATCTGCTGGTTTACTTCATCGACCGCAGAGGGGTAATCGTGAGTTGAAGGAGAGTCGGAGGGTCTCAGCCGTACAATGCTTTAAAAGGAGTCATCTTAGTGGATCGATGGTACGTCGTATTGTACCAAAATTCAGCCCATGATAACTAGTTGGGCCATTGACGGGGCTGTGAGCTGCAGAAACAGCGGAGGTAAGCCTCTAGACACAGATTCACCACTTCGCTTTGGCCATCTGTTTGAGGATGGTAAGCCGAGTTGAATTTCAGAGCTGTACCTGAGATTCTGAAAACTCCTGCCAAAAGTGACTCATAAACAATCTGTCCCTGTCTGAGATGATGGTTTTGAGGGAACCCGTGAAGCTTCACTAGTTCCTTGATGAAACTAAGGCTACCTCCTTGGCTGTATAGGGTGTGACAGAAGTAGAAAATGGCTGTATTAGTCAAGCGGGTCCACTACAACCAGTATGGTGTCAAACCCTTTGGTTCTTGGGAGGCCTCAATGAAATCCATTGTCAAATCATCAAATGCTGAGCGGGAATCAAAGTGGCTGAAGTAGCCCTACGGGTTTCAAAGCTGATGTTTATTAACCTGGCAGATGATGCAGTTTTTTACAAAGTCCTGGACATCCGTCTTCATACCCACCCAATAAGCCACATTGGCCACCATTTTGTATGTCCAAAATCTAGAATGGCCTCTTGACAGACTTGAATGGAATTCAGTAAGTAGCTTTCTGAACAACCGAGAACCTCTAGTAACTAACCTGTCTTTGTACAGAGACACCCATGGTGGATTTTATAATGTGGTCGGCTGTTAGGGTCCAAAATCAACGCGTGAATCAACTGCCGCAGCTTGGGTCCTGGTGGGCTTCGTTGGCTAAGTCCTCATACTCCGAAAACTGAATCTTTGATAAGGACGATAATTCTGGGTTCTCATCTCGCCGAGATAGTGCATCCGCGACCTTATTTGTGATGCCCGGCAAATACTGAATGTCAAGGAATCCCCCATCAACTTGGACACACCATTTCTACTGTTCCGGTGTTTTAATCCGCTGATCCTTGAGAAATTGAAGGCTTCGCTGGTCCGTTCGAATGATAAACTTTCTGCCCATAAATACGGACTCCATTTGTGTACAGCGAAGACAACAGCCATTAGTTCTCTTTCATAGACCGATTTTTGTTTAGCTTGAGGGGAAAACCCTTACTTAGTATGCTATGGGTCGTTTGTGTTGAACCACACAACTCCCATACCTTGGCCTGAAGCATCCGTCTGGATCTCGAATGGAAGGTTGAAATCTGGGGTTCCAGCACTGGAACTGATGTCATAGCCTCCTTCAAGGTGAGAAAGGCCTGCTGAGCCTCTTGATCCCACTTAAAACAGTTTTTCTTCAAGAGTCGCGTGAGTGGTTGGCTATGCTACCATATCCTTTAACAACCTGTGATAATACCCCGTTAATCCCAAAAATCGGCGGAGACTTTTCACATTGGTGGGTGTGGGCCTGGAAACCATAGCGGCAATTTTTTAGGGGTCGGCCTCCACCCCATGTGCTGAAATTAAGTGCCCCAGGTATTTCATCTCTGCTGCCTGAATGAACACTTTTTCCAATTCACAACCAGGTCATTGTCACCCGAGATTTGAAGGGCTTGTCAAAGGTGTTGAATGTGGGCTTCCAAGTCAACTGTATATCAGGATATCATCAAAGAAAACCAATACGAACTTACGCAAAACCTGTTTGAAAATGTTGTTCATAAGTGACTTGAAATGTTAAGGAGCTTTGGTCAATCCGAATGGCATCACCAAGAACTCGTAATGGCCCTCATGTGTTCGAAGCTGTTTTGGGAATGTCTTCGTCTTTGATCCTAATCTGATGGTACCCAGATCGGAGGTCCAACTTAGAGAAGATTGTTGCCCCTGCCAGTTCATCCAACAGTTCCTCGATGGTCGGGGATGGAACTTGTCGGGGACTGTTATCTCATTGAGGGCCCTGTAATCCACGCAAAACCTCTAGCTTCCATCTTTTTTCTTGACTAACAACACCGGGCTGGCAAACGGACTGGTACTTGGTTGGATGATATGGGCTGCTAACATTTCCTCCACTAATTTTGCAATTTCATTTTTCTGGAAATATGGGTACCTATAGGGTCTATATGTTAGGGTTTGGGCGCCTTCTTTAAGGTTTATGCGGGTCATGGGATGGTGGGGGGAGTTTGGAGGGCTGGTCGAAAAGATGCCGATACTCATCCAAAACTGCCTGAACTTGCGGACTGATGTCTTCGTCTGTGTGGATTGGCTTTTCTTCAATTGCACAACATTCCACCGGAACCCTCCCCCAGTGCTTTTGATGGACCGTAACATTGACTTCAGGGAGACACCGACTTTACCAGAGACGGATCCCCTTGTAAAATGACCCTGACCCCTTCCAATTCAAACCTCATAGTTAATTTCTCCAATTGGCACACACGTCCCCTAAGGAACTCAACCACGTAATGCCCAAAATCACATCGGCACCCCCCAACTGAAAGGAAAGAATCTTGTCTAATCTGAACTCCTTGCACATCCAGATGGATCTGTCGGCACACCCCCTCCCTTTTTACCGTGACTCCATTCCCTACCATCACCCCAAATCGCTTCCCTTTTTCCACTGTAAGTCCCAACCTCTCTACTAGATCCTGTGAATAAAGTTGTGGGATGCCCCACTGTCAACCCACCACAACCTCAGTATTACCAATTTGCCCTTTACCTTCAAAGTGTGATCTTGTGATGCCCACGATGGAGTTCATGGACACACTAAATCGTCACCATCTGGGCTAGGATTATCGTCATTTTCCGATGGGTTTTCGGCTTTCTCATCACTGTCGTCCTCCAAAGCTAATAGGATCTGCAAGGACTTACTTCGACAGCGGTGATTAGGGCCAAATTTTTCATCGCATTTAAAGCAAAGGCCCCTTTCACGTTTACTTTGGATCTTGGCCTCCGTTACCCGCCGGAAACTGCCGCCTGATCCTCCTCGAAGTTCGTCGCTCCTATTTCTGGTGCCTTTCACGTCTATCGGTGCACAGAATCGCGAGATGACGCGATCTGACTTGCTTCCGGTGGTTTTGTTGAGTTGGGCCACCAGCGGGTCGGGTCGGATCCGGGTGAGAACTACTTGGATGGTTTGGACCACCATGCCTGACGGGTTGGATCTAGGCTGTTGGACACCCTTGAATAATTTTCCCTGGTGACTTGGGTCCTAAACGTTTTGGGCCTCCATTTTTCCATTACCCATTTTTTTTCCTCCACCCGATGGGCTTGTCTCAATGACTTCTTGGAGGGAGCTGGGCCTCAACACTCTCAACTCAGCTCTAATTTCTACCTAAGCCATTGATGAAAACCCCCATTAACAATTCCTCTCCCAAATCTTTCAACGGTGCTGTAGGGCTTCAAATCTTCCTGTATTTCGTCACGGTGGAGATTTGTTTCAGCGCCACCACGCCTCGTGTGCAGACCCTTGGAACGACAGTCTGAATCTCGCGATTAGAGCAGCCTTGAGCTCTTCACATGTCTTGAAAGGATCTCGTCCTTCTACCCATTGGTACCAATTTAGCGCCCTGCCCTCCATGCAAAAGCCGCTGTCTCCACCATCTCCGATGGTCCTATTTGTTGATAGCAAAGTATCGGTCGGCGCGAAAATCCATCCAAAGGGGTCCTCCCTACTGAAAATTGGAAGCTCCAGCTTTCGGGTTTTCTTTTCCCTTTTCCCACTGTCCCCTACTGTGTCTTGTTCTCGTTCGCGGCCATCACTTGAATCTGTATTCTCGGACAATGACTGGGACTTCTCTTTTCCACGGTAACGTTTCTCCCTCCCTCTTGTCGCTCAACCTCAACAATTCTCTCATCTCGGTCAAGTATTCTTTAAGACTCCCCACATCAGTTTTGACTGAACTCATATCTTCTTGAACTGATTTCATCTCTTTTTCCATATTACCTCCTATTATCCTTTTTGATTTGACCATTCCCTAGCGTGAAATCTGATGGCAACTTGGCTCTGATACCAATCTGATGGAACTCCTTGCAATCAAGAACCACAGCAACGCACACACAGCACACAACCAAAGAATATGCACAAGAGAAGGAATGGAAGTTTATATTAATTGGAACTAAGATAGAGTAACCAGCAAATAGCAAAGAAATAGAAATAACAAGCAGATTCCCAGCAATTCGAGGAGCTGGGACCTCCCAACAAGCCTATGAAATATTTCTGGATGTCCCTCCTCTCTTACTTCTTCTTCTTAAATAGTCATCTCCTTAACTACTGACAGCTAGGTGTCCATTTCCATAACAACTTCCCCTGCACGTGCCCCTTTTCACAACATTTCCCATGCCTAATCACCCTCCTTGCACACCTTTCATCCTCTACCAGACTCCACACTTATTGTACCCTTGCCCCTCTTCCTTCCCTGCCCTTGGACTCATAGACCTTACGTATGGGGGTCTAACACAGTCATACCCGTACAGCTTGTTAAAACTGTATTTATTTATTGATTTCATTTCGATCAAGCATAGGTGTAATTTTCATCCATTCCCATGGGCTGGAACTTTGAAATTTGAGGAATTGAACGATATAGAAACTACAGAGTTTTCTGCTCTTATGGCTCAACTTGAGAGTTTTTTTGGACATTCCAAGGGATGTGACACTGTTATTATGCATGACTGTAAATTGTTATTTTTAGTCTATTTGTACCATATTTTGAAACTGTTGAATATATGGGTATTTGAATTGTATGGATGCTCATCATATTGTAATCTCTGGAACATTAACATATATGACTAAATAAAAAAAATTCCAGTTTGGGCTTTGTGCTAAGATCTTTGGAGGATTCAACTTCAATGAAATTTGTCTTTCATGTGTTATTATTCCATTTTTGTTTTCTGCTCTTGGCATTTGCCATCTTTCAAATGGTTTCTATATGTTTCCAACGCTCATTAACATCTATGGTAAATGTAATGGCATATCTCACTCTCTGTGTGGAACAAATCTGTTTTTCATGTCATAAATGTTTGTTGCTTCTTCAGGTGACTCTGGTCGGGTATAACCACAAATTGAGGATCTTACTGGAAACTGTTGTTCAAAAATTGCGGAATTTAAAGTGAAACCTGACAGTTTTCTGTGATTAAGGTAATGACTGATGGGTCTTATGGCCAAAATATGTCACCTTATAATTTGAGCATTAATTTCTCAGTACATTCTAAGCATCCACTGAATTGTAGTGAATTGTTTTATGCTGTTTTGTTGTTCCATAGTATAGCTAGCTTTTGCTATATTGAACTGTTAATGAATCATGTGACTTATGGCTAGAAGGTTTAGGTATATGTTTTTATCTTTATCTTTCTTCTTCCACTCGTTTATTCCATTTACATGGAAAGACACTCATGCATAAACTCCATATGCTACTACAAGCATAATTTTTTTTGTTTATTCCAAGTTCATCTAGGCCTGGGGATTTCTTGTATGATTTGTTCTGTCCCAAGAATTCTCAGGCCTCGTTTCTTATGTCCATTAATGATCTTGTCATGGTAGCCAACAAGTTAATTGGCCCCTGTGGATTACTTAACGGGTTGAATTATTAAAAGATTCATTTTTTCCTTTCAATATTTAGTCCTTGGCTATTTATTGTAATCATGCTTACTTGGAGACACCTCCTTTCCTTGAGGCTGAGTTTGTAGTTCCTATACAGTTGTGTTCATGATTGACATCCATGAGACCTTCCTGGATTCTTACTCTTGTTTGTGTTTTCTGCCTTGACTGATCTCATAGGTTCATTATTAAGCATATAATTTAGAAATCCATTTATTACGCAAAGCATTTAATGCAAGAATATTGTTGTTAATACCTCTATATTACTTTTTTGTTGGAATTGGTAACAAAGGAATATCAAAATTTCAAGTTTCAACAACCCTATCAGCAGGCTGTACTACTGCTCATTAATGCTACAGGATCAGACATGGCCTTGGATAGAAGAACTTGAAGTTCTTCCTCATCTTGAAGCTGAATCTTGCTAATTTTGCTCCCATGATGCTCTCCAGGGCCTTCTTAGAGTGTTACATAGCAGGTTCTTGTGCCTCACTTATTTAAATTCAACTTCAGTCATTCTTTCCTAGTTTCTAATCATTTTATTATATTTCTTTTGTTTTCAGAAAATTGAACTAATGAAGCAGATCAATGATCCAGCACATTGAAGATGTTTTCTTTAAGGGTTCAAACCCAATATGCCAACCTTTGTTCCCATCCCAGCATTTGACAAATAGAGTTGTTAAGCTTGATAAGGGAAGAGTTATGTGTACTCCAACTACGGCTTGAACCCAAATGATGAGAATTCTTGCCTAGTCCACTATATTCAGGTACTAACATTTAAGAAAAGATGGATAGGCAAAAAATTCTCAGGTGCTATTTTATTATAAGTTGCTCTATTAAAGTCCTGATTGGTAATAATTTGCTTGTATTTTGTGTTATGCATACCCTCGCATTTATGTTGTTATGATTAGATCCATTTTAATAGCTAAAAGTTCAAGGAAATTTTCTCTAACCTTCCATTCAATTACCTTAATCTGAACTCTGCATGGTTTAAGAATTCATCAAAATTAAGTTCACAAACTTCTCTGGTTGGCGAAAATTAAGTGGGTCATTCCAACTTTTGTAGTGATTTTCTTTCAGAACATATATTCAGTTTTGGTAGAGGAGATAAGGCCAAAGTCTTGTGGAATTTTTCTATTTTAGGTGATTCGCAAGAGAGGAAAAAAAAGGATCTTTGAAAATAGATGAGAGGAAGACATAACTATTTTGTGGGACACAATTCGATTGCTTACTTCTCTTTAGGCATCGATCACTAAAGTTTTGCTAGATACTTTTTTTTTTCTATGCATAGATTGGGAAGGGAATAATATTGGCATTCATGTTTGAGTTGTCCATGGCTTCTTTGAGCTGATCAATGCGTATATGTATAGATTTTTTGTGATCCTTTAGATGGATCTTAACTTTTATGGACAAATTGTTCACTTCTTGGTAATTATTTTAATCAATGATATAGATAAGCAGCATATGCTTCTTCTAAAAAATATATATAATAATAGATAATTATAATAAAATAAAATAAAGAATTCATCAAAATTAGGTTTTTGAGGAATTTCAAATATCTATGCAAGTGTTTGTTTTTTTGGGTTTCTTTTTCTACTATTTCTACCTCCATATTTTTGCTTTATTTTCTGCAGGTTTTCATCGGTTTTCATCATTTATTTATTTATTTCATTTTATAGGTACTTGTGTTTATATTCATGAATTTGTTGTTGTACAGGGAACTGGGAAACCTTGGCAGTTCGACCAAAGGCTAAAGGACTGGATACAAGGGATGAACTAATTAAGTTCTATGATGCAAATTACTCGGCCAACCTCATGCATCTGGTTGTGTATTCAAAAGGTTAGTAACTAATTTTTNAAAAAATATATATAATAATAGATAATTATAATAAAATAAAATAAAGAATTCATCAAAATTAGGTTTTTGAGGAATTTCAAATATCTATGCAAGTGTTTGTTTTTTTGGGTTTCTTTTTCTACTATTTCTACCTCCATATTTTTGCTTTATTTTCTGCAGGTTTTCATCGGTTTTCATCATTTATTTATTTATTTCATTTTATAGGTACTTGTGTTTATATTCATGAATTTGTTGTTGTACAGGGAACTGGGAAACCTTGGCAGTTCGACCAAAGGCTAAAGGACTGGATACAAGGGATGAACTAATTAAGTTCTATGATGCAAATTACTCGGCCAACCTCATGCATCTGGTTGTGTATTCAAAAGGTTAGTAACTAATTTTTTCTGCTATGCATTGATGGCAAATTAAACTATTTTGAAATATCAACACGTAATCTCTGTGATGGATTCTAGAAAGCTTGGATAAAATTCAATCCCTAGTGGAGGATAAATTCCAGGAAATTCAGAACACAGATCGGAGCTATTTATACTTTCCTGGTCAGCCTTGCGCATCAGAACATTTGCAGGTATGCATGGTCCTGGTGAAGTTTATATATGCTGAGGGAAAGCGTCCGAAGAGATGCTGCATGAAAGTAGGAAGGAAACTCTGTGCTGAATGGTCTTCACGCTGACTTAATCTGGCTTATTTGTTGGGCAAAAAACTCTTCTCTTTTCCTTTTGATGTCTTTTGATTGCAACCAAGAAAACCTTTTTAAGCAATTAAATTAGTTGCTTTATGTTTATTAGGAGAAGTTCAAAATTTGGGTTTTCCTAATAAGGTTTTTTGAGTTTTTTTTTAAGTTTTGAAATATCATATGGTGCGTTTGATTTATTATTTTGGATAGGATTTTGGGAATAATATTGGATAGTTGAATAGGGGAGTATTACGAGGTAAAATTTAAAAATTTATAAAAAACCCCTAGGTTTGCTAATTTAATTAAACACTCCAATATATAAAATAATAAAAACACCTCCACCATCGGCAGTGCCAGATTTCGGCTTCCACCGCCGGAATCTGGCCAGAAAACTGTGTTACGACATAGACCGGTCGGATCTGTGTCGTAACGCGTCGATATGGCATTTTCTGGCCAGATCTACAGCCAAATGTGGCCATCGACTGCCGCAAAGGTTCATCTTTGGCCGTCAACAACAGTCAAAGATATGGCCGTCGTTTTCGGTCAACGATGACCAAGATTTGGCCGTCATTGACCATCAACGATGACATTTTTTGGCCGTCAGCGACGACCAGATCCACTGTAGATCTGGCCGGAAAAGGCCAGATCGGTGAATAACCGGCCAGTTCCAGTCGTGGTGTAAGCCGTTGTGATAGATTCCGGCTACTACCGATGGTGGTTGCCGGAATCTGGCAAGTATGGGTGGGTGGGGGTTTTTTGCTAATTTTTAAACTTTTTTTTTGAGGGTATTTAGTGAAATTAATAAACCTAAGGGGTCTAAAAGTAATTAAAAAAATAAACTAATATTTCTGGAATAATATGCCAAACAATATTTGGGGAATAGGATTGGAAATATGGGCAGAAATATTGAACCAAACGCACCCATATATGTTCTTATGTTATTCTAGAAATTTTATTTGATCTTCCTTTATATTAAAACTCTTTTTGGTAATTACTGTTAGAAAGCTGTATCACATTTATACAACCAAGCAACTAACTACTTTTTCATGAAAGTTCTATTTTTATAATTCTACATCTACAAGTTCCACTTGAAGGGCCGTACTAAACAGATCCTTATACATTACTATGTTGGAGAGATTATCTTCTTTTCTTTTGTTTTTCTTTTTTTCTCTTATTGTTTATCTTTGCTTCAGATTCTTGTCAGAGCTGTTCCAATAAAACAAGGTCACAAATTGAGAATTATATGGCCAATAACTCCAAGCATTCACCATTACAAGGAAGCACCATGCAGGTATCTTGGTCATCTTATTGGCCACAAAGGAGAAGGATCATTGTTTTACGTCTTGAAGACATTGGGTAGGTTTTGCACTTCTTTTATGCCACAGAAAGTCAATTTAGTGGCAGATTTCTGTTGCACATTCTTCAAAATTTGCTGGTTGTGTATGTGACCATAATTTACATTAAGTTCTTTGAGGGTTGGGCTGCTTTCTTTTTATGAGATTAATAGGAGCTTCTTTTATAATTAGCAAGAATACCAAGAGTATTAGCAAAGAAAAAAATAACTCACATATGAGTACGCAGATTATAATTATAGAAACAGCTTTGTCACCAAATATTACAAGACCATGTATCTATAATAGAGTAATGCTAATTGGAATAAAATAACTTGTAATGAGATGGAGAGAAAGTTAAACTCAATGAGATAAAGGCTAATTCTTACATGATAGAAGATAATAATAATCATAAAAGCTTCTTACAATAATAATAATAATAATAATAATAAAGTGATAATAATAATGATAGAGATTAAAGCTAAATACTGGTGCTAAACTATAACCTTTGATTGGTTTCACTTGGCTAAAACAGTAAAAACTTATGTTATCTATGCTGTCATTATCTTATCAGCACTCAATTTTTAATCTTTACAAGGCAAATGCATGGTGGTTGCTTTCTTTCCAATTTTT